ATGACAGACCTTGTCTATATCATAAACACCTACATGACAGACCTTGTCTATATGATAAACACCTACATGACAGACCTTGTCTATATCATAAACACCTACATGACAGACCTTGTCTATATCATAAACACCTACATGACAGACCTTGTCTATATGATAAACACCTACATGACCTTGTCTATATCATAAACACCTACATGACATACCTTGTCTATATCATAAACACCTACATGACAGACCTTGTCTATATGATAAACACCTACGGGACAGACCTTGTCTATATCATAAACACCTACATGACAGACCATGTCTATATCAAACACCTACATGACAGACCTTGTCTATATGATAAACACCTACATGACGTTGTCTATATGATAAACACCTACATGTCAGACCTTGTCTATATGATAAACACCTACATGACTGACCTTGTCTATATGATAAACACCTACATGACAGACTTTGTCTATATGATAAACACCTACATGACAGACTTTGTCTATTTGATAAACACCTACATGACAGACCTTGTCTATATCATAAACACCTACATTACAGACGTTGTCTATATGATAAACACCTACATGACAGACGTTGTCTATATGATAAACACCTACATGACAGACCTTGTCAATATGATAAACACCTACATGACTGACCTTGTTTTGATAAACACCTTCATGACAGACCTTGTCTATATCATAAACACCTACATGAATGACCTTGTTTATATGATAAACACCTACATGACTGACCTTGTCTATATGATAAACACCTACATGACCTTGTCTATATGATAAACACCTACATGTCTGGTCTACATCATAAACACATGACAGACCTTGTCTATATGATAAACACCTACATGAGAGACCTTGTCTATATCATAAACACCTACATGACAGACCTTGTCTATATGATAAACACCTACATGACAGACCTTGTCTATATCATAAACACCTACATGACAGACCTTGTCTATATCATAAACACCTACATGACTGACCTTGTCTATATGATAAACACCTACATGACAGACCTTGTCTATATGATAAACACCTACATGACAGACCTTGTCTATATCATAAACACCTACATGACAGACCTTGTCTATATTATAAACACCTACATGACCTTGTCTATATCATAAACACCTACATGACTGACCTTTTCTACATCATAAACACCTACATGACTGACCTTGTCTATGTCATAAACACCTACATTACATACCTTGTCTATATCATACCTTGTCTATATGATAAACACCTACATGACTGACCTTGTCTATATGATAAACACCTACATGATGACCTTGTCTATATGATAAACACCTACATGACAGACCTTGTCTATATGATAAACACCTACATGACAGACCTTGTCTATATGTCTATATGATAAACACCTACATGACAGACCTTGTCTATATCATAAACACCTACATGACTGACCTTGTCTATATGATCAACACCTACATGACCTTGTCTATATGATAAACACCTACATGACCTTGTCTATATCATAAACACCTACGTGACAGACCTTGTCGATATGATAAACACCTACATGACAGACCTTGTCCATATCATAAACACCTACATGACAGACGTTGTCTATATGATAAACACCTACATGACAGACCTTGTCTATATCATAAACACCTACATGACTGACCTTGTCTATATGATAAACACCTACATGACAGACCTTGTCTATATCATAAACACCTACATGACAGACCTTGTCTATATGATAAACACCTACATGACAGACGTTGTCTATATGATAAACACCTACATGACAGACCTTGTCTATATCATAAACACCTACATGACAGACCTTGTCTATATCATAAACACCTACATGACAGACCTTGTCTACATCATAAACACCTACATGACAGACGTTGTCTATATGATAAACACCTACATGACAGACGTTGTCTATATGATAAACACCTACATGACAGACGTTGTCTATATGATAAACACCTACATGACAGACCTTGTCTATATCATAAACACCTACATAACATACCTTGTCGATATGATAAACACCTACATGACTGACCTTGTTTTGATAAACACCTTCATGACAGACCTTGTCTATATGATAAACACCTACATGAGAGACCTTGTCTATATCATAAACACCTACATGACAGAACTTGTCTATATGATAAACACCTACATGACAGACCTTGTCTATATGATAAACACCTACATGACAGACCTTGTCTATATCATAAAAACCTACATGACAGACCTTGTCTATATCATAAACACCTACATGACAGACCTTGTCTATATCATAAACACCTACCTACATGACCTTGTCTATATGATAAACACCTACATGACAGACTTGTCTATATCATAAACACCTTGTCTATATGATAAACACCTACATGACAGACCTTGTCCATATCATAAACACCTACATGACAGACGTTGTCTATTTGATAAACACTACATGACAGACCTTGACTGACCTTGTCTATATCATAAACACCTTCATGACTGGTCTATATGATAAACACCTACATGACTGGTCTATATCATAAACACCAACATGACATACCTTGTCTATATCATAAACACCTACATGACAGACCATGTCTATATCAAACACCTACATGACAGACCTTGTCTATATGATAAACACCTACATGATAAACACCTACATGACGTTGTCTATATCATAAACACCTACATGACAGACCTTGTCTATATGATAAACACCTACAGGACAGACCTTCTCTATATCATAAACACCTACATTACAGACGTTGTCTATATCATAAAAACCAACATGACATACCTTGTCTATATGATAAACACCTACAGGACAGACCTTGTCTATATTATAAACACCTACATGACAGACCTTGTCTATATCATAAACACCTACATGACTGACCTTGTCTATATCATAAACACCTACATGACTGACCTTGTCTATATGATAAACACCTACATGACTGACCTTGTTTTGATAAACACCTTCATGACAGACCTTGTCTATATGATAAACACCTACATGAGAGACCTTGTCTATATCATAAACACCTACATGACAGACCTTGTCTATATGATAAACACCTACAGGACAGACCTTGTCTATATCATAAACACCTACATTACAGACGTTGTCTATATCATAAAAACCTACATGACATACCTTGTCTATATGATAAACACCTACATGACAGACCTTGTCTACATCATAAACACCTACATGACAGACTTTGTCTATATCATAAACACCTACATGACAGACCTTGTCTATATCATAAACACCTACAGGACAGACCTTGTCTATATTATAAACACCTACATGACGTTGTCTATGTGATAAACACCTACATGACAGAACTTGTCTATATGATAAACACCTACATGATAGACCATGTCTGTATCATAAACACCAACATGAAAGATGTTGTCTATATAATAAACACCTACATGACCTTGTCTATATCATAAACACCTACATGACATACCTTGTCTATATCATAAACACCTACATGACATACCTTGTCTATATCATAAACACCTACAGGACAGACCTTGTCTATATCATAAACACCTACATGACAGACCTTGTCTATATCATAAACACCTACATGTCATTGTCTATATGATAAACACCTACATGTCAGACCTTGTCTATATGATAAACACCTACATGACTGGTCTATATGATAAACACCAACATGACTGGTCTACATCATAAACACCTACATGACATACCTTGTCTATATGATAAACACCTACATGATGCTATATCATAAACACCTACATGACCTTGTCTATATGATAAACACCTACATGTCAGACCTTGTCTATATGATAAACACCTAAATAACCTTGTCTATATCATAAACACCTATATTACAGACCTTGTCTATATGATCAACACCTACATGACCTTGTCTATATGATAAACACCTACATGACCTTGTCTATATCATAAACACCTACATGACAGACCTTGTCTATATGATAAACACCTACATGATAGACCATGTCTGTATCATAAACACCAACATGAAAGATGTTGTCTATATGATAAACACCTAAATAACCTTGTCTATATCATAAACACCTATATTACAGACCTTGTCTATATCATAAACACCTACTACACCTTGTCTATATCATAAACACCTACATGACAGACCTTGTCTATATGATAAACACCTACATGACTGACCTTGTCTATATCATAAACACCTACATTACAGACGTTGTCTATATGATAAACACCTACATGACAGACGTTGTCTATATGATAAACACCTACATGACAGACCTTGTCTATATCATAAACATATATGTAATGTTTATTCTATTGTTTAATATAATAACCATAACGGAAATGCCACACGTTAATGTAGGTCAGGTTTCCGTGTCATTCAGTGTTTAAATGCCCATGGAAACAGCGAACGCGTTGTTGAAGTAAGAATTTTACTTACATAAGAAAGAAATTTTGGGTAAAATTGATGAAATGTAAAATGAAATTGCATTTTTGTTAAAAATGTTTTACAAACTTAACATTGAAAAGTGTTTTGTGTGTATTTTTTTGTTGACTGAAGTCTCATGTATAAGAAGAATCACGTTAAGAAACAAAATGACAAAACTGATAAAAGAGTTCACGATCACGTAATATTTATATCTAAAAAGACCGAAAAAAATCAATGACTTGTTTTTAAATGCATTGACAATGATTACCGTGATGAGATCATCATAACTTATACTTGGTATATTGCACACCCTACAAAGCTTTAGAGGTCCTGTTCACGGCACCACAAATAGAACTAGAGCATTTTCATTTTCCGTCAGCTTTCCTTGTGAGACTAGTTGTCTGTTGGCGATCAGATTTATCACAGGCAATAGGACATCATAATAAATTAAAGTATAATAACTATGCGAGTTTTAAAAGTATTTATTTTCAAAACGAAACAATATTTGATGAGATGCTTCAGAAATCTTGTATCACCTTTCTGTTCCACTTTGTTGGGACTCTTTACTCTTTTTTCGTAACCCAGGCGATGTTTCCCTCTCCATTGTCTGTTTACAACAATACACAACTGACGAGAACAGTTTTCTACATTGCGACCGGAAGTTTGTATTAAGGAAGCTATATACAAAAGGATTGGCCGAGTTAGAAATAAGATAAGTCCGAGTTAGAAACTTCATCATGACCTCCTCCCCTGGAGTCATGGACGAATGGTAGTCTGGCTTCACTGCTCGGAATATGTTGATCACAATTCCAGGAAGATAACTCACAATAAAAACAATGCTAACAGAAAAAAATATCAGAGTAGTACGGCTCAGTTTGATCTGTGGAGATGTCTCTGCGATGCTTGCCAACCTCTTGGACTTTTTGGACATTTCTGCCGTTACCTGACTGTTAGACGCTGACTCGTCATCACTGGTGCTGTTTCTACTGACCTTGAACTTCCTGACCACTGCCGGTGATTTTGGAGATGTCACGTGATCAGATATAACTGTGTCACGTCGATGTTTGATTTCTATCCAAAGTCTGATATAGAACCCGATCATGCATGAAAATGCTGCTATGAACATTATGATGAGAGTGGTAAAGTAGACCTGCTGAAAAGGGCCTCCCTTATAGTCTTCACTAATGGAACAGTCGTAACCGCGAAGACCGATCACGGAAGTGTCCGAGCAGGTGATTCCAAACAGGATAAAAGCCGGAACAGAAAATAGGATTGCTAGAAATCCCGCCAAACCACACATCAGTTTGATTCTAGATAAAGGTAGAATTCTCAAAGGTTTGCATATCTTGAAATATCTATCAAACGCTATAAGGACTAGGATCATAGCTGATCCATAAACTGTGATTGACTCCGCGAACCTGAACAGTTTACAAATGGCGCCACTGTAGAACATGTAGGGATTACTGAGATCAAGTATCTCCACTGGCATGGCGATCACACAACTCAGAAGATCAAAGATTGCCATGGTGCCGATAAACAAATTGGCCGACCGACGTTTAAGACGCCAATTGTAAATGTAAATGACAAGAATGTTGCCGATAGTACCAATCACCATCAACACAGCCACCGAAATGATGACAGGCATATACAGCGTTGCTTTGTCCTCGTTGAGTTTGCTGAGCAATGACCAGTCGTAGGACGCGTTTGTAATGAGTGTATGGTTGGTTGGTCCACACCACAGGTGATCAGAGCTGAAAGAATAATGATTAATCACAACAGTTAATGCATTACCAAAATGTCGTGGAAAGTGACGATTAAGTTAGCAGGTTAGTTCCATTATACAGCACTTTTAGTCCTGCGTTGATATAACAATCGTATTTAACACAGTTATAGACGTTTAATATTTTTGGCTGTTCTACATAGCCTATTTGAACTGATATATGTGACTTTAGACCAATGTTACCTCTTGTTTGGGTGTAGTCTTGAACATCTTAAACTGATGGTATGACTTGTTTGTATAGGACAAGATTTTCGACAGGTGGTATGGTTTGTTTTTTCTGTAATTAAGCCATTAACTGATGGTGCTTATTTATGGGCAAATTGATGGTTTGTTTGTTTACCGAGTTTATTGCCTAATGGGCAGTTGGTGGCTAACCTACTGAATTACATACGGAAGGCTCGTTACATGTCTTTCAAGATCAACTAAAATGTTTAACGTTTTACTAGATATGTTTGTTAGCTGTGATTTCAATTGGCAATATCTAAAGCAGATTCGTCTGTAGTAAGAGTTTCTCTGATTTATGGACATTTTGACAGCAATATCAAAAGCAGATTCAACTGTAGTAAGAGTTGCTCTGATTTGTGGACATTTTGACAGCAATATCTAAAGCAGATTCAACTGTAGTAAGAGTTTCTCTGATTTGTGGGATTTTGACAGCAATGTCAAAAGCAGATTCGTCTGTAGTAAGAGTTTCTCTGACTGGTGGACAGTTGTGAAAAAAATATTCATCAATCCATGTACCCACGACTAACGCCTTTAAGATGGTAGTAGTGAATTTTGAAAATGTTTTTTTATCGCGTAATAAAGTTGCGACAAAGATAATAATTTTATATTTTAATCTTACATTCCATTTACGCTACTCTAACAATGTTAACAAAATAGAAAACCAGGATTTTTGTTTCTGTGAGTTTGTTTGTTTGTTAATCGTAGACGATAAGCATTGTTAAACAAAGTAGCCACCTACCTGAACATATTGACGTACTGACTGAAGCCGTGTCCTAACCCTGTAGAATCATCTCCTTTAATGTCAACTTATCTGAAGATTTCCCGATTTAAACAGCAGCTTACAAAAAGGTCCTAATATATCCGGTGACAGGAGTCTGTTTGCATACGTTCAATGTCCCCTTTATAACACAGTTCTTAGTGGCAAGTGGGACGCCATGACCACACTGCAGGTCGATGTCGATATCATCAGCCTTGCTGACCGCAGGTACTGCCTAACACTTCCGGCGCAGTGCTCCAAAAACACAAACAATATTGTAACCTTAATACACTGTCACTCTATCACAAAAATGGTGCCTAGACTAAGCATATCATTCCCACGAACGAAAGCCGTGATACTGTTACAGCAACCGTAGATAGTGATGAATTGATCAGCTGCTTTAGACGTAATGGACAGATGTGAACATGTAATGGATACCATATTAGCGAGTTACGGCAATTGATTGGTGGAGCGCGTGTGGGTTAAAGCTGTTATTGCATAGATTGTAGGCGCAGGACAACCTGTTAACTGTAAAGACACACTTTGTTTTAAATGTCGAATTATTCTTTTTTTTTCTTCCTGAAATGAAATCGATGTACAAATTAGAAATAAGTCGTCACTATCTTTTATCATATTTTATTCATACAAATGTACATCACCCATTTTCCCTAAATGCATATCACCAGAATGTTGACTCTTTCGTACAAATTGAAATAAGATATTTGAAATAATTTTTCACTAATATCATTGAAAATATCTACTCATTTTAATCATTTAGCTATCCTTTACAATATGTAAATGGCCAGGTCATCAATAAAGATCAAGACGTTTTGATTGAAAGTCAACCGATACCCAGCCTGGGTATATCTCTAATGCCAATAATGTTAAAGTCATTTGAAGCATTAAAAGAGGTTAAGCGAGACAGAATGACGATATATTTGTGATCTAAGTGGCAATTTGGGCACATTAAAATTGAAAATGGTTTATCTGTGAGATTGGTGGTTTGGGAGTGGCTGTGGTCTCTGTTTATGCTAAATGATTTTGTGCATAAAAAGTTGTTTATCTGTGTAAAGTGATAGTATTGTTTGTCTGTGTATAAGTATAGATGAATGTTGGTTGTCTGTATGAGGTGATAATATTGTTTTGTCTGGGTATAAGTATAGATGAATGTTGGTTGTCTGTATAAGGTGATAATATTGTTTTGTCTGGGTATAAGTATAGATGAATGTTGGTTGTCTGTATAAGGTGATAATATTGTTTTGTTTGGGTATAAGTATAGATGAATGTTGGTTGTCTGTATGAGGTGATAATATTGTTTTGTCTGGGTATAAGTATAGATGAATGTTGGTTGTCTGTATGAGGTGATAATATTGTTTTGTCTGGGTATAAGTATAGATGAATGTTGGTTGTCTGTATAAGGTGATAATATTGTTTTGTCTGGGTATAAGTATAGATGAATGTTGGTTGTCTGTATAAGGTGATAATATTGTTTTGTTTGGGTATAAGTATAGATGAATGTTGGTTGTCTGTATTAGGTGATAATATTGTTTTGTCTGGGTATAAGTATAGATGAATGTTGGTTGTCTGTATAAGGTGATAATATTGTTTTGTCTGGGTATAAGTATAGATGAATGTTGGTTGTCTGTATAAGGTGATAATATTGTTTTGTCTGGGTATAAGTATAGATGAATGTTGGTTGTCTGTATAAGGTGATAATATTGTTTTGTCTGGGTATAAGTATAGATGAATGTTGGTTGTCTGTATGAGGTGATAATATTGTTTTGTTTGGGTATAAGTATAGATGAATGTTGGTTGTCTGTATGAGGTGATAATATTGTTTTGTCTGGGTATAAGTATAGATGAATGTTGGTTGTCTGTATGAGGTGATAATATTGTTTTGTTTGGGTATAAGTATAGATGAATGTTGGTTGTCTGTATGAGGTGATAATATTGTTTTGTCTGGGTATAAGTATAGATGAATGGTGGTTGTCTGTATTAGGTGATAATATTGTTTTGTCTGGGTATAAGTATAGATGAATGTTGGTTGTCTGTATAAGGTGATAATATTGTTTTGTCTGGGTATAAGTATAGATGAATGTTGGTTGTCTGTATAAGGTGATAATATTGTTTTGTCTGGGTATAAGTATAGATGAATGTTGGTTGTCTGTATAAGGTGATAATATTGTTTTGTCTGGGTATAAGTATAGATGAATGTTGGTTGTCTGTATGAGGTGATAATATTGTTTTGTCTGGGTATAAGTATAGATGAATGTTGGTTGTCTGTATGAGGTGATAATATTGTTTTGTTTGGGTATAAGTATAGATGAATGTTGGTTGTCTGTATGAGGTGATAATATTGTTTTGTCTGGGTATAAGTATAGATGAATTGGTTGTCTGTATGAGGTGATAATATTGTTTTGTTTGGGTATAAGTATAGATGAATGTTGGTTGTCTGTATGAGGTGATAATATTGTTTTGTCTGGGTATAAGTATAGATGAATGGTGGTTGTCTGTATAAGGTGATAATATTGTTTTGTCTGGGTATAAGTATAGATGAATGTTGGTTGTCTGTATAAGGTGATAATATTTTATATAATGATTAAGTTTTATGTTGTTTCATGAATCTGATGTAGCAGGAAGAGATTTGGGGAATGCCACCTGATGAACAATAGTTTGGAAAAAATTACGGTTTGCCAATATGTTCTCTTTGAGAAATATTCAATTTTCTGTGTTAATTCTCTTTGTACATGAATCCCCATGTACATCTTTCTTTTGCTCATATTTTGCCCCAGTTTTACAGAATCTGATTATTGCTATGTTCACGTGTTGTTATTTTCTCATTGTCGTTTTCAGACGTTTATTTGTTGAAAAGATTAGTATTAACTCACTGAATTTTAATATGCCTTGTTTGTCTAACAAATTTCACGAGGTCTTTCCGACGGGACTTGAAGTGCTAAGTCATCGGATGTATATAACAACATCTATAATGCAGATATAAATGTGTAACACAGTTTTAAACACGACTGACGTAAATATTTTCTTATAAGGACGTGTAGCTTTGTTTTGTAGTGATTGTCCTCGCCTTTGTTAAAAAATGAATATAGCAGTTGTTACCACGGTAGGGCTGGGTCAGAACAGACTTACGTGTAATACATATATGTTACAGAACAAACCTTGTTACCACGGTATGTCTGGGTCAGAACAGACTTACGTGTAATACATATATATGTTACAGAACAAACCTTGTTACTACAGTATGTCTGGGTCAGAACAGACTTACGTGTAATACATATATGTTACAGAACAAACCTTGTTACTACAGTATGTCTGGGTCAGAACAGACTTACGTGTAATACATATATGTTACAGAACAAACCTTGTTACTACAGTATGTCTGGGTCAGAACAGACTTACGTGTAATACATATATGTTACAGAACAAACCTAGTTACCACGGTATGTCTGGGTCAGAACAGAGTTACGTGTAATACATATGTTACTACAGTATGTCTGGGTCAGAACAGACTTACGTGTAATACATATATGTTACAGAACAAACCTAGTTACCACGGTATGTCTGGGTCAGAACAGAGTTACGTGTAGTACATATATGTTACAGAACAAACCTTGTTACTACAGTATGTCTGGGTCAGAACAGAGTTACGTGTAATACATATGTTACCACAGTATGTCTGGGACAGAACAGACTTACGTGTAATACATATATGTTACAGAACAAACCTAGTTACCACGGTATGTCTGGGTCAGAACAGACTTACGTGTAATACATATATGTTACAGAACAAACCTTGTTACCACGGTATGTCTGGGTCAGAACAGACTTACGTGTAATACATATATGTTACAGAACAAACCTTGTTACCACGGTATGTGTGGGTCAGAACAAAGTTATAGGTAATGAATATATGTTACAGAACAAACCTTGTTACCACGGTATGTGTGGGTCAGAACAGACTTACGTGTAATACATATATGTTACAGAACAAACCTAGTTACCACGGTATGTGTGGGTCAGAACAAAGTTATAGGTAATGAATATATGTTACAGAACAAACCTTGTTACTACAGTATGTCTGGGTCAGAACAGACTTACGTGTAATACATATATATGTTACAGAACAAACCTTGTTACTGTATGTGTGGGTCAGAACAGACTTACGTGTAATACATATATGTTACAGAACAAACCTAGTTACCACGGTATGTCTGGGTCAGAACAGACTTACGTGTAATACATATATGTTACAGAACAAACCTTGTTACTACAGTATGTCTGGGTCAGAACAGACTTACGTGTAATACATATATGTTACAGAACAAACCTTGTTACTACAGTATGTCTGGGTCAGAACAGACTTACGTGTAATACATATATGTTACAGAACAAACCTAGTTACCACGGTATGTCTGGGTCAGAACAGAGTTACGTGTAGTACATATATGTTACAGAACAAACCTTGTTACTACAGTATGTCTGGGTCAGAACAGAGTTACGTGTAATACATATGTTACCACAGTATGTCTGGGACAGAACAGACTTACGTGTAATACATATATGTTACAGAACAAACCTAGTTACCACGGTATGTCTGGGTCAGAACAGACTTACGTGTAATACATATATGTTACAAAACAAACCTTGTTACAACGGTATGTCTGGGTCAGAACAGAGTTACATCGCCATTATTCCTCCACACACAATATATTTTCTGACAATTGTTAACCTATCTAAGATATTTCGGTGCCGATGGTGCTTTGTTAAAACGTCCTAAACAATATTATAACTAATAGAGTGTGAGAATGGCACTTTTGTATTGTTGTAATACGCCAATACACCATTTCTGATTTATTTGTTATCGAATTGCTCTATATTTGAGATACACTCAACACAACACATTTCAAAATCTTTGAATTTGGACTAGAAAAAACGTGGCAACAGTAACAGGATAGATGACGTATGTTAGTAGTATGTGATGATGACCGGCGTCAGCACTGTTGCTATGGCAAAATGTTTGATTGAGAGATTATAAAAGTACATTTGATACTTGAAATTATTAATCTTCCATCACCTGGATACGACATTGTATCATATTCAAACGGCAAAGCCATAACATCAAACATAGATATATTGCATTGTCCAGTCATGATCACGTGACAGATAATTAACCTATCACAGAACATTTTTGCGTTCATTATCATGAAGAAGAGTTGTGTTCCAATTGTTAAACATTTTATTGAGGAAGTGGAAGTGCTTTAAATCATTTGAAGCATGACACAGTCAACAATACACCCATATACCTGAGATTCTAACAAAACTATCAGATATATGAATTTAAATCTAATGAACAGGCTAATGTATCTCCACATCTAGATTTTGACATTACCGGTCTCTTTTTTTTATTCTCTGTCGTCTCGTAGACTGTCGACTATTAGAAGGAGATAACAGCCGTGTGATGCATTCACAACTCTATTGTATCTAATTCTAATTTTCTATGAAAGTTAACATCATCATGAACACGCAAAATTGATTGACAGTATTTGGTGATGAAAATATTGATAAAATGAACCATAATGGATATTTCCTCGAGAACATAAATCCAATTTCGTTCTTTTTATCTAATGATAGTAAAAACAGCATACGAATAATGATGAATGATGAAGAAGTTGCTTAAATTCAAGATATACAGTCGAACCTCGTTATTTCAAACTAGTATAACTCGAAGACTCCGTTTTATTCGAAGTATTTCGTCTGTTCCGACAAACTGTTCACAAAATATTCGATTTCGCTTAATCGAATACTCGTGTTCCAACTGTGTTCGAGTGTAAATATAAAAAATTGCATGATGAAGCTGCATAAAAATACTCTTAGATATATACATTAAATGTAGGTATAATACATCACATGTGGTAGATCACACAGCGTGAGAAATCTGGGTGTATGTTCACAACATGTACGTTATAATACGTACACAACACACATTGTTTGTGGTTTATTGTAGACGTGACAACTTAATTAAACCTGTCATTGTTATGGTTATACGGTTAGGTTACGGGGTTAGTACGTGTGTGGTTGTATAAGGTTATTTATGTATATCATGTGTGGTTTGTTATTTAAGTGTGTATTTTTATGGTCATTCGTGTATTTCAGTTGTGGCGAGGCTAACTATTGTAAAACGTCACACTGTGTAGTATATTGTGTTATATTGTATAACTCAGTATATTGCACGTGTGTGTTTTACGTGCTGAAGCCTTATAGCTGATACTGTATATGTGAATCTAAGAGAGATTTATTGATGACAATCAGTACTGATAATAATAAAAATGATAATAACAACATTGATAATAATAACAATATTATTATTATTATTATTATTATCATATACACATCTTTTCATCACAAAGGTTTTCCCAAATTGTAGAAATATTTCATTCTTACACCAACTCAAAATATTAACATTCCAATCATGGTCAAGGTCAATAATAAGATAAACAAAATGAGGTCGATAGAGAAGACAACAAATCTTGTGCGTTATTTATAGGAACAATAACAATGGTCCAATTAACTCAGTCACTATTTACATTTCAACATTTCTTAAACCCAGTAATAGTTTCTGAATTTCTCCTTTGATTCATCACTACTGAGAACTGGAAGAAGGAAATAAAGCAGGTGATATCATTTTATTTATTATCTAGTACTTACTGTGTCTCTTTCTAAATATAATTCATGATAAGTTGGCATTTAAATCACAGTATGAATGCTAGGGTAAACTAAACCTGCGAATCGGTCCCTTTTTAAGTAAGAGCCGATTACTCCTGTTTAAACTTAAAGAAAATACATTATGTTATAGGAAACACGCATGCTGCTATCATAGATCGTGACAATTTTTTGTTTATCTAACGGTCAAACGCGTCCCCTCGCCAATCCTACATTTTATAAAGTGGTTTTCAATGTAACTGGAGAAACGAGTTCTGAGAAAAACCATTGTTGGTTCAAGGTCAGGGTCTAGGTTTACGGTTAATACAAGCGAATCGTCCCGCTTATCACCTCAATGTTTCAGATAGTGTTCGGTGATAGGAAACGTGCCGTGGTTGTCATTGATATTGTCATGTGTTTAAAGATCATAATCAGAATACAGAAGTCAATTTTCAAAATTTATTATTTCTTCCAAAATTCATTTTGAAAATGCGCTCATTAAACACATCATTGTTTATAAGCACACCTGAAAAAAACATGAAGATCTGGAAATTAAATTGGAAGTATACAACATATCATAGTTTGAATGTTTGAAATATAGTAACATGTAATGAATACTTAATGTTATTTAAAGTTATATTGATTTGCAGTAATAACACACGCGATTATTGATCCGCACGGTCAACTACTTAATAAAAATTATCGCTTGTAACCCGACGAGTAAACAACCAGCGACTTTACAACCCAATGTCTCACTGTTCATTCTCTTTAGCTGGAATTCATTTCCCGATTAAGGACACATTATATGTTTAATACATGTATGATACAAGCCTGTAATCCAATCGCAACACACTGTACATTTAACAGATTGAATATCAACTATCTTTACGTGTCCCTTATTTCCGGTCACTCCTGGTCAACAACTAGACTCCACTTGACCGACATGTCTTTATAAACAAGGTGGTAAGACCGTGGCCTCTTTCGTCCAATAACTCGTCACGGTCGACTAAGAATGGACATCATTACATATGTAGCTGTGTGTTAATTTACATATCTTCGATATGTTTTTCATAGTCATGATTAAGATGCTCTACCATTAATTTGAGATCATACGTTTAATTCTTCGTTTTCGATATATTTCTATGAGACACGGAGAAAAGGTTATTGAGTTACATGAGACACCAGAGCTCCATATGTTAGGTAAACAACGCGACCAGGGTTCAACCACTGCACAGCTGTTAAGTAATTTGATGTTGTATTTTCCGTATCAATAAATATACATAGCTTTCATTTAAGTATAGATACTGTAAACGCCCAAATCTTTGTGGTAATATTATTTTCGGTATAAAAGTATTGCACTTAAAATATGAATATGCGAATTTCATTTTCTGTATGTGGATTTTACAGCAATTATTGAGGATGCGTCGAATTAAATTCATCATTTCCAAATTTTGTTTTGATACGGTAAAATAATGTTGCGCCAAATTCAGAATGTTTACAGTAATGATAAATTTTCTATTGAGTCCCTTTTTCCTTAAAATCTGCTTTGTACCCGCACTTCATCAAGATATATCTGTTACAATGTAAAGCTTCAGCATTATAAAAACACAGTGCCCGTTTTGTCAATATTTGACGTTATAAAAGTATATAAAAGGATCTTTTTGGTCACGTCACCATGAATCATTCCAAATAATGACGTTTATATCTCGATTGTATGTTATTCTGACTGAAGCTTTACACAGAGTCGAACTTCGTTATTTCGAGGTCACCGGGACCGCTGGAAAACTGCGCGTTATTCGAGTATTCGATATAAGTGAGATCGAATGTTTGGTGAAAAAAATGCTGGGACAGTCGAAATACCTCGAATTAAACTGAATTTTGAGCATTCGAGTTCGAGATAACGAGGTTCGACTGTAGTTTTTTAGATTCTTGAATAAAAAATATAAAAATGTAATTATCAGATATATGAAACTTATGAAAGGTATTGAATTAGGGGGTTTGTACACTTTAGAATTGGACATTTTTTCTGATTTAACAACCAACATATTTTTGTCACTGTATAACAAACCGTAATAAGAATTGATGTAATTCAATGTGCCGTATGTGTATAATGATACAAGAGGCCCATAGGGTATGTATTGCTCACTTTGATTTTAAAGTCAAGATATGGTATGCATGATTATAAGTTGGGTATTTCAAATATTTCCAAATTGCGGTTCACTATCTTAACCTTTTTGGTAGGACTAGACCAATGGATAATTTTCATATCATGACTGTCTTTTTCTTTTGACGCCTAGTAAGAGTTTATATGGCTATCGGGCTGGGATCTCAACTGTTTCAAAATATGACCCAGAAATTAAGTCCAACAGGTGAGCTTAAAAATGACAGATAAAAAATGTGGTTATACTGTGTGATATTTATGATAAATATTATCAAAATTATTATCAAAATACGATTCTATGTATGACAATTAATTCAGTGTTCTATACCATAGAAATTTTTATATACAACCAGTAGAAGATTTAAGCGTGACGTTTCAATGAGTACATCACCACCATCATTATATAAAAACAACAACATGTTATTATTGTTACGTCGCTGACTTTCTTCGAGCATTTTGTCATTCCGGAATACTCTGATTGTTGAATCGTAAGTTATTAAGTTGATAGAATGAGCACAGGTTAACCATTCAGTATATTGTCTCGTATCGTTACTACTAGACAATCAGAATTTCTCATCTTGTTTCCCCCTCTTCACTCGCCTTAAGTCATTCTCTATGGTAATTAGAATATAAATAATCAATATTGAGTCCTAGTTTATATCTAGAATTGTGTCACCACGTGTTAACTGTAGTTAGTGCATTGTGATGTTGGGAGAGGGCCTGGAAAGTTGTAAGAACACACAACCCTCTTCAATGAATTGTCAATAACATTAGTTTGAATCAATTTATCCTTAAACAAACAACTTACAAATTCATTTTTTTATTTTAAGTATATCTTTATTTGTATCAATTATATGTTTAAATCTATATTTTATAAACAATTTCAAAATATGTCCCTTCTTGATCAATGAGTATGTGGTTCAATATAATGGTCGATCTCCGCGTACAATCGGTAACTTGTATCGAATGCCTTTTTTCACTTATTTGAGCTATAATAAGCTGGCATGCTGATGTCCGGCACGAAAGACACCATAGTATCAAATGCATTCACCACTTTGGTTTTTAACAGATGAATTGTTCGCTACACTTCAATTTCTAAGTGTTTCATGTTTCCAAAATAATATATATATATCATTGTTGCCATTTCGCATCATTTCAGTTGTTCCATTTCTAAATCATGGGTCGGATTGGATTTATTGGAATCCGACCTTGTCCCATTCACCTTACGGAAAGATCCTCTGAACGAACTAGTGCGACGACGGAAAGATCCCTTACAACTACCGATAGCAGCTGTAAACAGCTTGGAGCAATGCGTGCGGAAATTTACGTTCAGAAAACTATATATAACAGGATTTATAACATTGTTGATGTAGTAAGAACGGGCAAACAGTTTCAGAATAAGCTGTTTCTCCTCAGAGAGTTTTACTGCCGAACCTTTTTGTCGAGATACAAATACCTGAACCACAATGGTGGGCAGATAACTCAGCACGAACGCCACGGTGACAGCAATAAATATCTTTGTTGTTCTAGAGACTTTGATTTGCGTTAGAGCTTCCGTAATGCTACCTAACCTTGATTTTCGAGATGAATTAGACAGAGACCGTTTGAATGACCGTTTGTTATTAGTAAATACGCTTGATTCGTCGTCACTGGTACTTGAGATAAAGCGGGTCCTTTTTACAATGTAACGTCCACCCCCCATTTGATCGTCGCCTGGTCGGTTAGTCGGTTTATCGCCTATTACTATATCTTTCCTGCGTCTGATTTCATACCAAATGCGGATATACAGACCGGCTAACAGTAGGAACGACACGCCAAACGTTAGAGGTATGAAGTATTTGTAGAAGATGTCACGAAAAAGACTTTCCTTGTAGTCTTCTGATACTGAACAATCGTGTCCGAACAGTCCAGTCACGTGCGTTGGAGCCCTTGTGATGCCGAACAAGATAAGTGCCGGAACAGACAAAATTATAGCCAAGATTCCTGCAACTGCGCACATGATCTTGATCTTCAACGCCGTTACAATCCTTAGGGGTCTACAGATTTTGACGTAGCGATCAAACGCAATTTCGATCAAGATGATGACCGATCCGAACGTTGTTACGTTCTGTGAGTAGCGGAAGAGCTTACAAGCCCAAACGCTGTAGAATGTGTAGTGAAATCTGACGTCATAGATGTCAATGGGCATGCAGATCAGACTGGACAAAAGGTCAAACGCTGCCATGGAAACGATGAAATGGTTAGATGATCGACTTTGGTATTTGCAGCAGTAAACATAAATAACAAGAATATTTCCAATCACACCTGTCACCATTAAAAACGCAACGAAGATTATAACGGGAAGGTACAATAGAGCTTTTTCGTCGTTCAGTGTATCCAGAAGTCCGGGTAGGAATGTTGTAGTAGTGGACATGTTTCCGATCGGATCCCGACTTCCTGGTCCAGATATCCACACACTGTTTTCTGTAAATGAATACTCATTTGTTTTGGTATCTCCAACGTTCGTGTCCGATGTTGTCACCGAGTGCATATCTGTGAACAAAATAAGTATGAATTGTGATGTATAGTTTGTGACAATCAGTTTATATTATGAAAATGAGTGAAAATTGATAAATTGTATGTGTATTAACAATCAAACAATATCATTTTAGTGATCTTCATCATCAGGCAATAGTATCTTAAGGCATTTCATCTCTACTGAGAAAAGAGATTTTTACAGACAATTTAGGATCTGAAAGGGTTTTATGAAACAATTCTAGATTTTTTTTATTTTGGCGGCCTTTGGCAAGAAAAAAAACAATCCTCGAAACGATTTTTTTTTTTATAAATTCTCAAATGAAACATTTCTCAAACTGGAGATTCTTTTTTGAGATACTCAAAGAAGAAAAATACGGAGGAAGAAATAATAAAAATGAGTGAGATTCTGATTGTTAATATCTTTGTCGATTTTCCAACAGATTTTGACACACCTATGGAAAAAAGTGTCCTTCTATGGCAGGCATTTTGTTTTCATACCATGCTAACTTTACAGAAGAGTTTATCATAACATGTCACAAACATCTTGCAAATTCCTCAAATTTCTCTTAAGATATGTTGATGACGTCTTGTCTTTAAATAGCAAGAGATTTCTTCATTATGTCCATCGTATATACCTAACAGAAGTGAAAATCAAGGACAAGACAGACTCTTCTACACCAGCCGCTTACCTCGACCTTTTTCTATAACGAAAGCAACATGGACAGCTTTCCAATAAGCATGATTTCTATTTTCCTATTGTGAATTTCCGATTTCTTCAAAGCATAACCCTGCATCCCTAACCTAAGGGTCTGGTCGCACAAGATATCAATAATTGATAAATATAGACACAGGGTCTCGAAAAATGCAAGTGGATGAAAAGAATGGGGAAGGTGATCTCATTGAGAAATATGCTATTTCTTCGTGCGATATGAAGCTTGACTTGCAGATGTAAGTGGTTTTGCTTGTTGGTTCCGTTGTTCTATACCTTGTTCTCATTTGGGAACGTGACATTGTTGACTGATCAAGATGTACAAGGCGGGTGTCGCCGATGGAACAGAAGACTGAAGCCTTCTTCTCCTTTAACTTGTTTCTTTTTTATCACATAACCCAGCAAAGATACATTTTGACAAGTTTTAAAATAAAAATTTGGAGAACAAATTGAAACAGAGGCAGCCATTATGTTTCGTCTTCATCAATTCATGACGTTACGTTATTGTCCATTTTTGAACATCACGACTGATTTCTGAGTAGCGCACTCAATGAAAAACGTTCCAGTGTATATAACACTAGTGACCCACATGGGCAAATTCACTGGGAAACAAGCGGACTAAACACACATGGACAAATTCACTGGGAAACAAGCGGAAACAAGCGGACTAAACACACATGGACAAATTCACTGGGAAACAAGCGGACTAAACACACATGGACAAATTCACTGGGAAACAAGCGGACTACACACACATGGACAAATTCACTGAGAAACAAGCGGACTAAACACACATGGGCAAATTCACTGGGAAACAAGCGGACTAAACACACATGGACAAATTCACTGGGAAACAAGCGGACTAAACACACATGGACAAATTCACTGGGAAACAAGCGGACTAAACACACATGGGCAAATTTACTGGGAAACAAGCGGACTAAACACACATGGACAAATTCACTGGGAAACAAGCGGACTAAACACACATGGGCAAATTCACTGGGAAACAAGCGGACTACACATACATGGGCAAATTCACTGGGAAACAAGCGGACTAAACACACACATAGGCAAATTCACTGAGAGACAAGCGGACTACGTGATTAACAATTGCTTAAATACTTATACTTATTACTTACATTATTCAGTATATATACATACCCATCCAGGCTGAAGTAGTGTAGAAGGAAGTAGCTACGGAGGTTATGGCCATTCTGTTTTGACGATAACGTATTGCCTTTTTTATCACCGATCACTATAATAAAAAGTACGTGTATGTATGATAAGTATACAGCTGTACACAACACAACAATGTATTTGGTTAAACAATTAAAAAAAATAAGTTCACTGATTACACGGATTGTCATTTCCAGTTTTCCAGTTCATTAAACCCAACATAGATTACTCCCGTAAACAATTAGCCATTTCCATACATGTATACAGATAACATCTGTTGGCACATCGAATATTTCACTTAATCAATACAATAAATCAGTGAGCTTTATTAACCAATCTGTGTTTCCTGGTATCTATATATCGTTTCATATTGCAAGGTGATCATAAAAATAACGGCTGTTGCAGATGTACTGTAATTTAGTAACAGTTTTTCTAACATCAGAAATCAATTGCAAATTTCCGAAATTCTTTAAAACAAAAATGCCGGTTTTGTACTTTGTGAGATTATACCAGATAAACATTTTTCAGATTTGATATATATTTCAAATACTTTAACTATTAATTTAAAATTAATTAAGATTAAAAAATAGCAATTACTTTGTTTCCTCCCGGTACAAAAGAGATATTCAAATATATTATGTTTGTATTAAAACTTATACATGTAAGATTAAAATTGACATGATTGACAAAAAAAAATCTACATAGTGCACCGGATACTGTTCTCACATTCTAGTTCTTTATGATTGATACGAGATAATATATTATAGGGTGGTACATAAAGTTTGATGTAGGTTAGCAATGTCTTCGCTGAAGCTTTTCTTAAAATAAACAATAGATAGATAAAATATATGTCCCATAAATTAGAAATTGAACGCTGAACAATAGGATGATAAACAAAATATATTATTTAAAAACAATTTCAAGATACAATACAAAGACTAATGGTATGCAATAGGTATGAACGTACCTGTAGAACATTTCCAGTGGTGTAGAAAGACAGATGGAGCGTGTCTGTAATTCAGTGAGAGATGTCTGATACACTTCCTCGAATTAATAAACTTACGAATGTACCGTCTGTATGAGTACCTATGTTAGCGAGACTATTGGTGAGAAAGCACGAGTGACTTCCGCCATACAAAATTGTGTATATACTACATTATTGCAATTACTAACAATTCACAACAAATTTCTCAAAATTATACAGTAAGATTTATCTTTGTACTTGTACATGTTACCAGACCTCTTTATAAAATAACCCCATATTTGTAGTCCTGCATATGTCCTACCCTTAACCAACACAATAGAGGCTGAATAATGACCTTACATTCTCTCGATAAAAATGACTTTGTGTTATTTTAAAAACTATACAAGAAATTCAACAAAAGTGAATAGCACTTTTCAATTCAACTTCCAAATTAGATACTATAGAAACAGGTGATTAATGAAATAGCATCATACAGCCGTTTCGTTCTTCTATAGGGCTCGTCAGTGTTATTACATCATACAGCCGTTTCGTTCTTCTATAGGACTCGTCAGTGCTATTACATCATACAGCTGTTTCGTCCTTCTAGGACTCGTCAGTGCTATTACATCATACAGCTGTTTCGTCCTTCTAGGACTCGGCAGTGCTATAACATCATACAGCCGTTCCGTTCTTCTAGGACTCGTCAGTGCTATTACATCATACAGCCCTTCCGTTCTTCTATAGGACTCGTCAGTGCTATTACATCATACAGCCCTTCCGTTCTTCTATAGGACTCGGCAGTGCTATTACATCATACAGCCGTTTCGTTCTTCTATAGGACTCGTCAGTGCTATTACATCATACAGCCGTTTCGTTCTTCTATAGGACTCGTCAGTGCTATTACATCATACAGCCGTTTCGTTCTTCTATAGGACTCGTCAGTGCTATTACATCATACAGCCGTTTCGTTCTTCTATAGGACTCGTCAGTGCTATTACATCATACAGCCGTTTCGTTCTTCTATAGGACTCGTCAGTGCTATTACATCATACAGCCGTTTCGTTCTTCTAGGACTTGTCAGTGCTATTACATCATACAGCCGTTTCGTTCTTCTATAGGACTCGTCAGTGCTATTACATCATACAGCCGTTTCGTTCTTCTAGGACTCGTCAGTGCTAATACATCATACAGCCGTTTCGTTCTTCTATAGGACTTGTCAGTGCTATTACATCATACAGCCGTTTCGTTCTTCTAGGACTTGTCAGTGATGTTAAGGGTTATTTTAACCTACGTGGCGACAGAGGCAAAAGAAAGATTGATCGCAAGATCTGTCAGAATCTGGATGGGAAGGTGCACTAAGTCTATATAATTCAATAAATTTCGCAATTTTTTTTATATAACAAGCGAAATTATTATTTGTTCATGGAGCGATGACGGTCCATATCTTGCGTATTAAATATCTTGCGTAATATATGAGATATGATGGAGAAATTATCGATGTTAATTGAAGAAGAATTTATCGATGTTGATTGATGGAGAAGTTATCGATGTTAATTGAAGAAGAATTTATCGATGTTGATTGATGAAGAATTTATCGATGTTGATTGATGGAGAATTTATCGATGTTAATTGATGAAGAATTTATCGATGTTGATTGATGAAGAATTTATCGATGTTGATTGATGGAGAATTTATCGATGTTGATTGATGAAGAATTTATCGATGTTGATTGATGGAGAATTTATCGATGTTAATTGATGAAGAATTTATCGATGTTGATTGATGAAGAATTTATCGATGTTGATTGATGGAGAATTTATCGATGTTGATTGATGAAGAATTTATCGATGTTGATTGATGGAGAATTTATCGATGTTAATTGATGGAGAATTTATCGATGTTGATTGATGGAGAATTTATCGATGTTAATTGATGAAGAATTTATCGATGTTGATTGATGGAGAATTTATCGATGTTGATTGATGGAGAATTTATCGATGTTGATTGATGAAGAATTTATCGATATTGATTGATGGAGAATTTATCGATGTTAATTGATGAAGAATTTATCGATGTTGATTGATGAAGAATTTATCGATGTTGATTGATGGAGAATTTATCGATGTTAATTGATGAAGAATTTATCGATGTTGATTGATGAAGAATTTATCGATGTTGATTGATGGAGAATTTATCGATGTTGATTGATGAAGAATTTATCGATGTTGATTGATGGAGAATTTATCGATGTTAATTGATGAAGAATTTATCGATGTTGATTGATGAAGAATTTATCGATGTTGATTGATGGAGAATTTATCGATGTTGATTGATGAAGAATTTATCGATGTTGATTGATGGAGAATTTATCGATGTTAATTGATGGAGAATTTATCGATGTTGATTGATGGAGAATTTATCGATGTTAATTGATGAAGAATTTATCGATGTTGATTGATGGAGAATTTATCGATGTTGATTGATGGAGAATTTATCGATGTTGATTGATGGAGAATTTATCGATGTTGATTGATGAAGAATTTATCGATATTGATTGATGGAGAATTTATCGATGTTAATTGATGAAGAATTTATCGATGTTGATTGATGGAGAATTTATCGATGTTAATTGATGAAGAATTTATCGATGTTGATTGATGAAGAATTTATCGATGTTGATTGATGGAGAATTTATCGATGTTGATTGATGGAGAATTTATCGATGTTAATTGATGGAGAATTTATCGATGTTGATTGATGGAGAATTTATCGATGTTAATTGATGAAGAATTTATCGATGTTGATTGATGGAGAATTTATCGATGTTGATTGATGGAGAATTTATCGATGTTGATTGATGAAGAATTTATCGATATTGATTGATGGAGAATTTATCGATGTTAATTGATGAAGAATTTATCGATGTTAATTGAAGAAGAATTTATCGATGTTGATTGATGAAGAATTTATCGATGTTGATTGATGGAGAATTTATCGATGTTAATTGATGAAGAATTTATCGATGTTGATTGATGAAGAATTTATCGATGTTGATTGATGAAGAATTTATCGATGTTGATTGATGGAGAATTTATCGATGTTAATTGATGAAGAATTTATCGATGTTGATTGATGAAGAATTTATCGATGTTGATTGATGGAGAATTTATCGATGTTGATTGATGAAGAATTTATCGATGTTGATTGATGGAGAATTTATCGATGTTAATTGATGGAGAATTTATCGATGTTGATTGATGGAGAATTTATCGATGTTAATTGATGAAGAATTTATCGATGTTGATTGATGGAGAATTTATCGATGTTGATTGATGGAGAATTTATCGATGTTGATTGATGAAGAATTTATCGATATTGATTGATGGAGAATTTATCGATGTTAATTGATGAAGAATTTATCGATGTTAATTGATGAAGAATGTATCGATGTTGATTGATGGAGAATTTATCGATGTTAATTGATGAAGAATTTATCGATGTTGATTGATGAAGAATTTATCGATGTTGATTGATGGAGAATTTATCGATGTTAATTGATGAAGAATTTATCGATGTTGATTGATGAAGAATTTATCGATGTTGATTGATGGAGAATTTATCGATGTTGATTGATGGAGAATTTATCGATGTTGATTGATGGAGAATTTATCGATGTTAATTGATGAAGAATTTATCGATGTTGATTGATGGAGAATTTATCGATGTTAATTGATGAAGAATTTATCGATGTTGATTGATGAAGAATTTATCGATGTTGATTGATGGAGAATTTATCGATGTTGATTGATGGAGAATTTATCGATGTTGATTGATGGAGAATTTATCGATGTTAATTGATGAAGAATTTATCGATATTGATTGATATCAGATTTGGCTTAACTTTGTATATTATGACAAATATTGCGACGCAGTACAAGTGATATTAGGTCGGCAACACCTCCTACCAGAGCGGAACTGATTAATGATAGCCACTCAATATCCACATGTAAGTCTGATCGATGACAATGCATCCGGTCATATACAAGCCGGAACGATGACCTCCCTAAATCTACATCCTATTTTCCTGTTGTCCGTAGAGTAACACTTGCTGCTGACTTTCTGTAGTCATATCATGTAAATAAGGACAAAACTTGTACTGAAGGTCATTTTTAACTGTAGTATCAGGAGTAGGTAGTGTCTATTGTTTGTCCTTCTGTATCAAAGATGGGTGTCAGTTTTACTAAATATTCACCTAACACCCCAAAATGTCTAAAATCATTCTAAAAGTGTTGTGATAGATCCACACATGCAAGCCCTCAGGTACCGGTGATTTGACGGTACAATCCAGCGCCATTTCGTATGCTAGCTACAATTACATGATCACGACGTATTTATTGTCTGGCGTCATAATTCTGTGATGATTTTTAACATTGGGGGCTTCTTTTAATTTTCATCCGAGAAACCCCCAAACACGTTGAAGAGGAAGCATTGCCTACAAGTTGGATCACTATGTAAATTCGTTGTCTAACCACTTGGCCCTTGTAATTCATCAAAGGTAAGATCTATAAACTTGAAAGAGTCCCACTAGTGACCTAATCCACTAATGACCTAATCCACTATTGACATAATCCACTATTGACATAATCCACTATTGACATAATCCACTAGTCTCCTAATCCACTAATGACATAATCCACTAGTCACCTAATCCACTAATGACCTAATCCACTATTGACCTAATCCACCATTGACCTATTCCACTAGTCACCTAGTCCACTAATGACCTAATCCACTAGTCACCTAATCCACTAATGACCTAATCCACTATTGACCTAATCCACTATTGACCTAATCCACTAATGACCTAGTCCACTAATGACCTAATCCACTATTGACCTAATCTACTAGTGACATAATCCACTAGTGACCTAATCCACTAATGACCTAATCCACTAGTCACCTAATCCACTAATGACCCAATCCACTAATGACCTAATCCACTAGTCACCTAATCCACTATTGACCTAATCCACTAGTCACCTAGTCCACTAATGA